TGTAGTAGGAGCTATTATCCACAAGGTGGCATTGTAGTCAAGATTGCATTCACTCAAAAAGGGGAAAATGTAGTTGTAATAGTAGTTTTATTAAGTACAACATGTAGAAATTCATTTGCAACAAGTTCTACATGTTATATTTAATTATAGGTTAGTTTTTGAATCTTTGTAATAGTTTGATTAATAACATATATATGTAAGCATAAAATACAATGAATATTATAATATATTATACATTATGTTTGGATAGGAGCTATTATCCGCAAGGTGGCACTGTAGTCAAGCTTGCATTCACACAAAAAGGGGAAAATGACGTTGTAATAGTAATAGTAGTAGTATATGTAATGTGTCGTTGAATTAATGGGGATAACTACGTTAGGGAGGGTCGCGTGGCATCAGAGTAAACGTGAAAGAGAAAATAAGAGAGGAAAAAGGGAGAGTACTAAGTAAGGGAGAAAAAGAGAGATAGAGAGAAGCTCATGTAATGCAATTATTCGGCTCTTTGCGTCCTATCGATGGAAGCCTCTGCGTAAAGTGTCTGAGCCTGGTGGGTACTATATTAGGGATGATAAATTATGTCATTGACTATTTCCACCCTCATAGTATTCTTATATATAGTGATTTATATTTAAAAAGAAAAAATGTCCATCATACATGTAAGATGTTCATCATACATGTAATTCTGATACTAAAAATGAAAATGAATTTATTCAGACAAACTTTTTGATTGATTCTTATAATCAGACATTTTTTATTGGAGAATACGATTGGTCTGATGGTGAAGCACAATTTTTGTGTATGTAGAAAAAATTATTACAAAAATCAGTTAATAATTTGATTGAGAGAAATTGTAGTTCGAATTTATCTGAAGTTGGTACTTATTCTTTCAACGTTTAACGATATCTCTCAAATGAGCAATAAGGGAAAGTGGAGCAAAAGTTTCTACAGTTTCTTTCTCTTTCTTTTTCTCTTACGTCATCCATCCTCTTGAAATTTATCTCGTTGTACGTTTTACCTTTGAATCTCAACATTGGGGCCAGACACCAGACGATAAAAGAGAACATCCTTTTGCAAATTTGATGCTTTGTAATAACTTCTTGATCGTTTATTAGAAATATTATTTTTATATCTGTATCATTGTATTATTATTTAAAATATTTTAAAGGAACATTGTGGAATATTTTCAACATCTCATAGTGTGAATTGCAACTAAAATCATCAAAGGTTTCCAACTATTCAAAAATATGCAATAATATTCAGTTGAATTTTGAACTCATTCCAATGCAACGAACAACTGACGAAGAATGTAACCCTGTCAGTACTTCAGATATTAACCTTTTAGTTAGAAAATGTACATATTGAGCCCTATGCATGATTGTTAATAACAAAAAGGGTTATTTATTCACATATCAACTATTTACAGTACTATTTGAATAGTTCATATGTTAAAATTCTCATTTTTTTGATTTTTATCAATGTAGTAAAATAAAATCCCACTAGGTGGATCCTAGTCCTGTACAACTGGTGGTGGGGGGAGTCTTAGGGACCAATCACAAATAAGCATGGAACGCGTTATCACAATTTACGCCATGCATGCATTAAGTTGATGCAAATAACAAGATGAAGGAAAGAAAAAAAATGTGTACTAAAAGTAGTTTTCTCTGAACGTGGTCTAAACCCCTCAGGGGACACCATGGAAAAGTTAATAATAGATATTGAACTTTTATATTCAAGTATACTATTTTTATAAACGTTTTAGTATATACTTTCGAATCATTTTCTTGTATCTCGTTTATGTTGGTACAAAAAAAAGCAACAGTTGTATTTTTGTATTCGCAGTTTGTTAAATTATTCGTTATATAAGAATTATCATGTAATACTATCATTTATAACAATAAGGAAATAATAAATAATACATTTTTGTTATTATAAATTGCAAATGTTATTCGTTTTACCTGTTCCAATGTTTATTTCTTTTAAAAAATTGAGTAGGAAGAAGATGTCGATTGAGGTTAGGTTACAAAATTAAATGTGATATATATATAGATATATAATCATTTATTTATTTCTAAATATAACTAATTATTTCTTACTAAATAAATATAATTTTTGATATATAAATACACGTTTGAAATTTATTCATTATTTTAATATGTTTCTAACCAAATTGTTTATAAAATTCAACATTCGAAGAAGTTTATGGTATGTTGAGAGATATATATGGTGTGTTTAGAAATATAAATAATATTACTTTGAATGTGAATTGTACTAAATAAAAAATGATATATACACACACTGTATAATTAATATAATAAAAAATAACGATATATTATTATTAAAAAAAAAAAAAAAAAAATTGATTTCATTTATTACATTTTCAAATTGCAACTACAATATTACATGTTATGTTTCTTAATACAAACATTTTCAGAGTAACAGACAGGTCTTTTGTTTTCTTCTATTTTTCAATTTAATCAATATTACTTAATTTTAATTAATTTGATTGATTTATTTATTTATACGATTACAATTATTAATTTATTAAACATCGATCGCGTTTTCATCCAACCACACAATTCGATATGAAGAAAAAGAGACGAAGAAGAAGAAGAAGAAGAAAAAAAAATAGAAAAATAATGAAAAAAAAAAAAAATACAAAATGGTTCGATAGGATCGATTGACTTTGACCTTGGAGTATATTTCCCAAGTTATTTTTGTGTTTCTTTAACGATAGGCTACTTCCTTCCTTCCTTCCTTCCTTTCCTTCTTTCCTTCCTTTCCTTCCCAGCCCTTCTTCGTGTATCGTTAAACTACATTTCTGTGTTTTTTTTTTTATTATCTCTCTTTTTCTTTATTTTCTTTTTCTTTTCAAGCAACGAACAGAAGGTACTTTACCAAACCGATCGATATTATTCATAATACATGCATACACACACACACATATATATATATACATACATTTATTATACAGATGTTTGCATATATACACAAAATGTTTACTGGAAAATTTTCTATTTAAAAGAAAAACAAAATTGTACATTGACAATAATACTTTTAATTGAAACAATAATTTTTGTAATTACATTTTTTACAGTAAACAAAAGAAAAAAATTTGATTGGTTTTCTTTTTTTCTTTTTTTTTTTATAATTATTATTTTTATAATATATAATTATAAATATAATATAATTATTATTTTTGAGGTTAAAGTATTTTTCATTAATATGTTGTACATAACCTAAAAAATGTCTAAATATACGTATTATGTTGATTTGTGATAAAAAGTTTTGTTGGATTATTATAAGAACAATTAATTTTGTTATTAAAATTTGACATTTTTTTTTCAATTCCCATCTATTTATATTACAATTCAAATATACAGGGTGTTCGTAATTGTTTTCGATTAAAATACATCACCGTATTTTATGCACGAAACTAAAAGAAAATCAAACGTGTATAGGTTAGTATACTATTTAAAGTTTTTTAATTAAAAGAAAAAAAGAAAAAAAGGAAAAAGAAAAGAGAAAAATACAAATTATGACAAATATAATAAAAATATCTGCGTTGACGTCAATGACGAATCAAATTAAATGTTGTAAAAATGGCCTGGCTGTATAAATCAAGTTAAGAATAAAAAAAAAAAAGAATGAAAACAATTCCCATTAGGTTATTATAAAAAAAAAAAAAATTTGCGTTGACGTCAATGACGAATCAAATCAAATGTTGTCAAAATGGCGGGGCTATATAAATCAAGTTAAGAATAAAAAAGAATCAAAATAATTCCCATTAAGTTATAAAAAAAACCAAAAAGCAAAAATAAAAAATAAACAAGTAATTCAAGATTTCATAATATTAAAACAATAATTAAAATGTATAATTTATAGTTTTGTTCTTTTATTTTCGTGCATAAACAAACACTGACGCCATTTGCTTAAAAAAAAAAAATTTTTTAGGTTATAATAATTAAATAAAGTTATAGGAATGAATAATATTCTAAACTTAGAACACACTTATACATATATACGTGAATAAATACATACATATATACATATATACACATATAAGGGTATGGTTGAGACGAACACATTATGTGTAAGCTGACCTTCCATCCCTTTTCTATCCCCGACCTACAAGGTCAACATACGAGGAGGGTTTCTGAACTATAGTCTTCGCATCTATGAAGTAAAAAGAGAAAGGAAAAAAATGAATCATCCATCATTCATCATTCTCTTTCTCTGATACTTATTATATTTATTCATTTGTATATTTTAAAATATTCCGATTCAAATATAAAACATTTGAAAGATTTATTAATAATTATTGAATAAATTGTAATAATTTAATAGTAATAATAATAAAAAAAAATACATAAAAGTGTCATTCAAAATTTCATTCATTAAAATCAATTTCGTTCATATCAATTAATTAATTCAAATAATAATAATAATAATGAAAAAAGGGAATAAAAAAATAAACAAATCAAATTATGTGATAAAAAAAATGATCATAATTTTAATATTAAAAGTACAAAAGAAGTGTTATAATTTTTCTTAAAATTACAATAATCAATTATGCGATTACAAAATCAAAAAATAAAAAGTCAAATATACAAAAATGTCATGCATCATATCATTAAAAAAAAAAAAAAAAAAAAAGAAGAATACAACTACTTTATAGATATATATATATGTATTATGTAATTTTATAATACATTTATATACTATTATATAACATACATATATATGCATGTATATATGTATATATATATTATAAAATTATACATTATTTTATTTAAAAAATAAAGAAACTTATCAATTTTCTTAATTGTGTGACTAAATTTTATAGAAAATTAATTTAGAAATAAAACTATTATTTATATATATATTCATAATAAAAGTAATATTTATATATATATGTTAATTAAATATATAATAATAATACTCTATATATATTAAAATATGAATATATATATATATATATATATATATATATGAATTTCTCATTAAAGATTTTTTGAGGTTAAGTTTGACATTGAGTTCCTCATGGGTTTTGTTCGAAGACATTTCGATGTGGAACGAACGGGTTCCAGGAAGGATTCCTATGGCCCTTTACTGATCGTTACAGGCGTGAAATCTGCTTTACTGCTTCTTTGCAATGACGATGACTAAGAAGAAAAAGAAGAAATAGAAGATGATGATGATGATGATGATGAAGAAGATGAAGAAGAAGGATAAAAAGAGAGAAAGCAA